TTTAACTTCACACCACAGAGCAGGAGATGCAGGGTATCTGCTGCACACACTCCATAGAGCTGTACACATTTAATGAGCACACACTGTCACCTGCTGTAACTGTTATCAGCTCGCTATTCTGCAGCATGAGAGTGAAAGAGAAAGTACGAGGTGAACCCGTATCAGCCGCAGAGAAGGGAGAAAAAAGTGAGGGAGATAAGGAGGAGTGTGACTCGTGACTACAGAAGCCCAAACCACCCGCTCAATATCTCACTGTCTGGAGCATGGTCTGGAGGAATAAGAAAAGCACTCTGAGCATCACTGGGAGCACTCGCACAAGATCAAACACAGAGCGTGAGAGAGTTCGACGGGGGATTTAGGGCGAAGAGAAAGCAGAGAGAGTTTGAGAAAGAGGGAGAGTAAAGTAAAGGTGAAGGACAGGGAGAAACAGAGTGGTCAGAAATGCAGCCACATTGAGATAAGAGAGTTGTGTGAGCTCTCACTGACACAGCAATGAGAAATCAATGTCAGCCTTTGAATGAATCAGCAGTCGTGGAGGAGCTAACCCACCCAGGTCGGTATTTATTAAACTACATGTAACAGTCGTGAATTATAGTAGAGACACACATCACTTCCTAGATCTACCCACTCTCTTGGTTTCCTCTATTGACGTTTTGTGCAGCTTTATGGGGGTGGAGGAAATGTCAGAGTGCAGGTCAGCTCACCAGCAGCTTTTACTAGAGACAGGGATAGATAGGGGAACAAGGAAGGAGGAGAACATATAGAAGAGTGGATATTCTCCTGTTAATATATTGTAGGCCATATATTTAACCGTTACAGACCCACAGTGTTTATCAAACCCTAGAAAATAAAAGGTCCTATTAATGATTTTTGAACAGAAGCCTGTAAACAAAAGTCACACACTTAACTCACATACTGTACAATCACCTATCTCCTCCATCCTGGCATCCCTCAGTAGGTACTGTGGTTAGTAACATGTCAGTGCTTTAACCCTAATCCCCCTACACGTGCCGTCACTAATCAGAGCTTGGATGGAGATACCTACGGATGCTCAGCCAGGAAGGGGAGGAGACTAGTGTCACCTCTACTGTACATCAATATACCTCAGAGTAACATCAAACGAACCTCTGACTTCATTCATTTCCCCTCTCCGCCCTGCATGCCAGTCTCATCCATCTGCACTACTACTCACTCCACTTTCTATCTCACTTTTTGTTGGTTTTTGCTCCTAATTCCTCTTTATCCTTCTTCCCTTCCTCACCATGCCCCCCCAATGGCACACTTGGGTCCCATCATGCTTCACTGCCACTGCTGTTAAGGTGGGTGCTGTGCCAGTGTGCCTGTGGGTGAAGAGAGTTAGAGTGGACTGAGAGATAAAGGGATGTTTAAACCAAAGCAGACGTCATTAGTTAAAAAGGTAAATGAGCAAATATCTTAAATGAATGCAGGCGAATAGATGTCTTTGGATGAGGTGAGAGGTGAACATGAGTGTGATCTTCAGTATTACAGTGTAATTCAGACGGATTTACTTATTATCAGACTTTCACATCAGGAGCTTTTGGTTCATCAGAAGCTAATGAACAAGGAATCGCATTAACTCATGGTCACTTAAAAGCCAATCTTAGTCCAAAGCATTTTCTGATTTTATACATGGAGCCACTCTTTCTGTGTCTTGTTTAAATTAACAGAAGATTAACAAACAACCTTTTGGATCATCAGATTATTTTAATTAAGTTATAAAGAAACAACAGAAGGATGCAGGAGGTTGGCTATGCACTGTTATGATTCTTTTTTTAAGCATAGCGTTTTCTTGAGCAAAATGCTTTTAAATGTCCTACTTCCAAGTAATCATCTTACTTTGGTGTGTCAGTATGTCATTCGTTTTTATAAACTCCAAACAAAATATCGATTAGGAAAATTAGCAAAACTTTAGGCTTCAAAAGCAATGGTTTTATGTTGTAAAGTCAAAGCTGTCAGACATTTATGAATACATCATATGAATTAGGTTTCTTATTGGACAAAAGTTTTGCAATCATTTGTAAGTTGATTTCAAACTGTAGATACATCAATGGTAATGAATTAGAAATGCATGAAGTCAAACTCCAAAGTTATGGTTAGCCTTGGACAATGGTTTGTTGGTTGCAAAATATCAAGGATCCAATAATTAAATCAACTGGAGCCTATTTCCTGCCAATCTCATGTCCGAACATTGGTAAATCCTGTAAAAACAACCACAATCTAATTACCAGGCGCACAACACTAACTAATTCAATCAAAACTGTCCTCTTCTTGAGCACCAGCAGAATCAAAATGTGATTTCATTGATTTAACACGAGAAGAAAGAGCTTCTCTAAAGGTCCTCTAATCAGCGTGTGTCTGTGTGGCCGGTGTGTAATTGGGCTAATTTCCAGCTAGCCCGAGCTAGCTCCGACCTCCTGAGGACAAAGCATGCAGCGGGCTTCTGCAGTTTAGCTGACCTAGTCCGTGAACATTAGTCTGGTCGGATGCTCCACAACACACGGCCGAGAGAGAGGCCGAGAGAGAGGCCGAGAGAGAGGCGCATGAATGACATCATTGACTTTAGCTTTCAGTGGATCTGGGTTCAGCTGGACGGCAGCAGCAGTGCAATGAGGAATTACTCTGGGCTACAGGCCTACACACACACAAACATACACACAGGTCCAGCAGACGTGTGAGCACATCACCTCGCTGTATACACTTACAGACACATCTTAACTAGGTTCACCCAATTAAGCTGTCTTTGAAACTAGGATCTGCTCCCTGACCATGAAGTTGTGTATGTTTGTGTATGCGCGTGAAAAGAAGGAGAGAGAAAGCAGGGGGTTCGAGGTTAGAAATCCATGGCAACCGCCCCTAAGCAGCAGCATGTCTTATTGCATTTCTTCTCAGAGAGGAACATGACATGTAAAGGATTACAAACAAACTCACAGTGTCACACAACCCACAGGCTGTCTCTCTGCTCGATGGCCATGACATAGCTGGAACAACAAGGGGGGGAATTTTAAATATAGGAGTGCATAAATACAAGTTTTAGATCGGTTTCAAGTCCTAATTCAAAGAGGAAGTTCACTAAACTTTGTCAACAAAACACTTGCTGTACCTGACACTACACGGTCATTTGTGAGATATTTTAAAGGTCAGTAATTTCCTCTGCGTCTTCTTCTATTGAAGAAGACGCCATTCTATTTTAAAGCTGTACAGCACCTGCTACACCTGTTTTTCAGGTCAATCCAACCGACCCACCTCAGTCGTAATCCTTGTCAGCACTTTCTCATCACACAGGAACACTTCAGTACAAAAGGTGCAAACCTACTTCTCTTCTCTGTTCCGTTCAGTTACTTTGGGTTATAAGAAATCAGCACTTTTGCAACGTATGGGGAAAGTTGCCACATGTTCCAACATTAAAGTCATAAGCTTGACTGGGCTGGAGTTATTTCCTTATGTTTCTTTGTTACTAGCAAATCTGCAGTAAACTGAAAACTACAATCAAAAACTAACCTGATGCCGCTGTACCAATAAATTACTCATTTATGGACCTGACCAGGTGCAGGGAAATGATCATAGGTATATAAAACTTTATAGACATCTTTCTGTTTCGCATGATCTGTATCTCAATTAAAAGCTTCTCTAATTCATCTGTTTCTTTGTCCGCATACTTCTTTGAGATTGCTATAAATGTAATGAGGGAAATCCATAAGGGATAAAAGCTTTTAACTGGATTCACCCCATCAGTGATTCATGGAAGTAGAGGGGTAGTATCCATGGTGGGGGATACCTCAGTCATTTCCTCTGTCAGACTATAGTATTCTCTCATCCCACCAGCTGCTAGTGCTTACACAGCACAGTGAATATCATAGATTTTTTCATTATCCACAAATGGCAATTACGTTACTCCATGCTTCAACAGTAACAGCTCACGCCAACCAACCATAACAGTCAGTGCAAGTACTGTACATTACAAACATTAAGGATAAGCACACTGGGGGGGGAAGAGAGGTGACTCTTTTCTCCTTTTGATAAATATTTAATTCTATCTTTACGTAGCTGGTTCAGTGGAGCTCAAATCAGCATAACAGCTTTGTTTAAAGTGCCTCTGCTACAGTAGTGCCCTCTTTATTGTGTTGGGGATAATCCTCTTTGTGTAGGGGGCTCACTTTGTGTCAGCATGCAGGCAGGGATGTTACCATCACTGAGAAAACTGAAACAAAGAATAGTTGTATTCCTTAATATTAAGGGATAACTTACATAAGGGATTACTTTTATAAAAAAGAAACTAAAGCTTCTCAGAGATAAATCCCGAGCTGATGACATACTGATGTGTCATGCTGCTTTAATCTTCCCTGAGTCACTCTCTCCTCCCCAAAACACTAGCAGCCTGAAGTAAGGTTTCTCCCTCTGCCCACAAACACATTACATAGTGCAGCAGAGCTACGTGAGCAATAGAGTCCGTTTCTGTCATCGCTGTTCTGTCTCATTCAGCAATCAGCCCGCAACAGGGGAGACATATATTCATCACATATCCCTAAACACATCAGGCAGAACCAGAGTAATCAGGGGAGCTGCTGTGAGCACATCTTTGCTCCTTATCCTCCCTCTTGTCTTTGTTTACTGGCTCTCTTGATGGATTCTGGCTCACACAGACTGTTGACATTATTTGGCCTGAATTCCAGAAACTTCCTGTTAATCCTAGAGGGTGTTTTTCTGTAAATGCTCCCTGGAGCTGGTGGATATTTCATCTAAAGTCTATATGTTTAAAAATAAAATGTTTTATAGTTTGACATGTTACACAAGCCCTAAAAGCTGGAGCTAAAATAGCTGCAACACACACTCACAAACACAGTCACACACGAACAGTCAAACACCCCTTATACTGGGTGTCAAGTTTAGCCAGTCAGCTGGTGACATGTCAAGTCCAGAGGAACAACATGCAGCTGAGGGGAGAGAGGGGATGGGGGAGGAAGAGGATTATTTCGTTTTACCATTGCAGAACTGTAGCAGCGATGAGGTGTCATACAAGCTGCTGTAGCTGGAAAACCCGTCCTCCATTCTCAGCCTGTGCTCAGTCCTCTGTTATCCACCACTCCTTCGCTCTCCTCTCTCTCTCTGGTGGCTCCCCTCCGTTAGTTTATCGTTCACTTGGCGTCCAAGGCGCTCCCTCCATTCACTCTGCACGGGTCAAGCTCCCTGGGTGAGTCACCATGGCAACCCATTCACTCCGATTATGTCATGTGAACTCCGAACCCCTCTTCTTTTCCACCCCCGTCTCACACAAAAAAAGTCCTGAACTCTACGGCAGAAAACACTCCCTGCTGAAGGAAGACTGCAGCGGAGAGTTCAAGTTAAAGCTGCTGGTGTGTTTGTTTCCTCTCCTCCCTCCTGTGCTCTTGTCCCCTCCCTCTCTTCCTTCTCCTCTTGTCTTTCTGTCTTCAGCAGAGGCAGCTGTGTGTCGTTAGCTCTCGCTGATCTCAGGCAGAAAAACAGCTTTAAGAGGGCTTGAGCTGCGAGCGCAGGCAGGCTCTGGCATAGGCAGTTACTGAGGGTGTGTGTGTGCGTGCATATGTGTGTGTCAGAGGCTGTGTGTGTGTGTGTGTGTTTGGATAATGCTCGGGACAGCCCAGCCTTCCCCTGTCACACAGTGTGGACGAGTCAGAGCGCAGGGGGGCGGGGCCTGTCAGAGAGATCCTCCTCCTCTCGCCTGGTGGGAGAGGAGAGAGGAGGAGAGGAAAGGAGGAAAGAGGTGAGGATATAGGAGGAGAGAGGACGGGGAGAAAGAGAAGAAAAAGAGAGGAGAGGAGGAGGAGAAGAGAAAAGAGTGGAGGAGAAAGGGACAGGATACGAGTGGACGGGAGGAAATAAAAAGAGAGATAAAAAGAAGAAAGAAAAAAACGAGAAAAGAGAAATGAGGGTTTACTAGAAGTAAACAAATTGGAGAGAAGGGAAATAAAGGACAACAAAGGAGAGGAGGGTGCAGGAGGGAACAAAGGAGGTGAAAGGAAAGGATAAAGGAACGAAGAAGAGGAGACAAGATAGGGTTTAGCAAAGATGAAAAATGCACAAATGAATGAAAGGAATACCAATCGTTAGTTACCAATTTCACTAAACGCCTCAGTCAATAAATCAGTTACTGAAGTGAATTCATTATAACATGGCTCTTACACACAAAGCCATAAAGTCACTGTTTCAATGGTGTGGAATCACGTGGGGACACGGCATAACAAACAGCCGTCATCTCCATTTCCCGCCGCCAGACATTAAAAAGCGAACACAGCCAGGGGATCTACGCTGTGGCTGAACATGGTTATCATTCTGTCCTCTGTCGCTCTTATCTGCCCCGCTGCAGACTGCACCGAGGCATCTCTGAAACAAGGACAAGAGGGGGAGAGAATGAAAGGGAGACTAGGGGATTGAGGAAAGAGAGAAATAAATGGGATAGAGGGGGGAGGGGATGGAGGAGAAGAAGAGTGCTTGAGAGGGGTGGGCGGTATAGAAAAAAGGACCAAATTAAAAAGTGAGCAGGGTGGGAGTTTGGTGAGGGGGAAACCCTAAAAACATTACATTCTAACCGGGGGGTTGCATGTGCATGTGAGGGGGGGCCTCTTTGCATTATTTATACATCAAGCTTGCAGGGGAAATAATAAGTCAAAAGAGTCTGTGGCCTATATTCATGTGTGAAGCATTCCCGCCTTTCTTCTTGGATCACAAGACGGAGCTGGGAAGATTACACAAAGGCAGGGATGCTCTAAAGACAGCAGGGAGAGAGAGAGACCATGAAAGGAGGCATTTGTTTCTCTCTCTTTTTTTACAGTACCCCGGAAGGTGTGATATCATTTGTCTGTGTGAAGCTGTTTCTGAGCAGGTATCTCTCCTAACATCTTGAATCCTTTCCGGTTCAAAAGGTGGATGTGACCTTTAACGGGAGGATAAAAGGGATTCAGTGAAGCACCTTATTGATCACTTTACGGTTCAGGGCCTCCATGCTGTTGACCTCAGCCCTTGTATTCTCCACCTCCTCTCCCTCAGGAAAACACTCTGCTTCACTTATTACACAATAACAACAAGACACCAATATATCTACCACACTCAGTATCAGCCTGACTTTAGACAACAAGGTGCTCTCTGTACACCAGTGTTGCGTTGAACACTGCTATGGTTGTTTAGCAAAATCACAAGGATATCATACCTCAAAACAGAGAGAAATCAAGTGTGTGTTGACGTTCACATTATTTGTATACATGCTGTGCAACCACCGCTAATGTTCAAATGTGGAAGAAAATGCACCAAAAGTATTTCAGATGTTTTAAAGACCCAAATTCCAAAACAGCTAGTGTTTTGATTGAGATACAGAAAGGAATTTTGTGCCTCTCACACAGAGTCCGAGCAACACACACACACACACACACACACACACACACACACACACACACACACACACACACACACACACACACACACACACACACACACACACAATGAACTGGGTTGCGCTGTACAGAGTGTGAGTATATTTTAGCAAAATACTGCAATATGCTATTTCTCCTTTTTTCTCGCTCACAGCTCTCATTGTATTCGTTTCAAACGTTGTATGCAGCTGCTTTTAGAGAAGAATCTGAAACAATCCACTGTACGCTAACTAATCTGCACACATTTGCTATACCATTTATGATGTTGTACATGATGTGTTTGCCTAAAGTGGACACACATAGAGGAATGCTTATGGTTTCTCTATGCAGTAGGTCAGGCTAGATGTGAGGTAAGTGTGTACAATAATGAAAGACCCTATGCCAAAACACGGTGCCTTCGGTTAAAAGTGTTAGCCTAATGTAACTTCAACAAAAAAATTTAAACAAGTGGATATCTGATATCATAACCCTTTTACTTTTTGGGTAAATTAAGGGAAAAAATAAGATTGAGTGCATGCAGCAATCTCACTATATTACATCTGACAGAAGTTCAGAGTCTTGCTCTATACATCTTAAGGCTTGGCATCAGGTCTCCAATGGCCTGCTGACACAGCTTTGCCTCTCAAGAGGCCCATGAAGGTCGTATAAAAACTGAACCAGTTGTTCGTTTATTTATTTTTTCCTCCCAAAGACAGTAAAGAAAACTGCTGACATGCGCTTGAACCACAGATGATCAGTCAGTCTGTCAGAGGGCCAGGATTATACACATAATATCCAGAGCTGAGGAGGAAACAAGGTCAATCCTCTGATCCAGCCACCATCTGCGTGCCTGTCCTTGTTATTGGGCTGTTTGTGCCTAACACCAGGAAATAATCCAACCCGGGGTCTTTACTCAGAGAAAGATTTTTAAACAAAGCAAGGGGACACATTTAAATGTTGGGCCAGTCTGTATACAGATAAATAGAATATACAAATCTTTACGAAGGAAATTCAAAAGTTTTCAACAAACTAATCAAACATAACAGCTTGCACTGGTTACAAAATAGGCTGCTAAAATGTCCTTGTCAAAATATGAGGAAGTTATATCACAAAAATTAAAATACAACAAAAGACTTCATGAATTCAACCCAAGTCAAACATGAACAATCTGAATTGTATATTTAGCAGCAGGTATCAAAGGTCGCCCCATATATGCGCCTGTGGCAAAGAGGAAAAGCCAGCAGGAAAGAGCAATAAAAGTGTTATTCATTTATTTGCCTGGTGATAACATAAACCTGGAGCAATGAGCTCAACAGTCCGGTCCTTATGCAAACACAGTGACTTAAAAAGACTGCAGGGCTGATACTAATTTTAGACATAAAAATATATACATTTGATACACTATATATTATATTAACATGCTAAAAAGCCAATTAAGATGGTAAAAATAGCAAATGTGATACTAGCATTGTCACTTTGAGCATGTTATCATGCTTTCGCTAGCATTTAGCTCATATCATCGCTGTGTCTAAGCCACACAGAGCTGCTAGAGGAAGCCATTATGATAACATAAAAAAGAGAAGAGTGCAGACCAGCAGAGGATGTAACACTGTCTGTGACTGACAGGTTCACTCTTTCCTAATAACCGTCTGGACAGGAGAGTGGAGATAAGAGACAGGGAGAGATTGATTGAATGTGAGAGGGGAGAGTAGAACAGCTCAGTGACACATTATTTCCAACCTTCTGGAGGAAATAACCATTCCTTATACAAGCTTAATAAAGTAGACGTCAATTCGATATTAAAACACACTTTATGATACAGAATAATGAACTCTGGTTACTTCACATTGGACATAATTACCTTCATGAGTCTAAAGTAATATGCTGCTTTTGTAATACGTGTCAGTAAATGTAGATGCTTAGATGATCAAGGTGTAGTCTGTCACAAGGATAGAAAAGAAGAATCCAATATCTTCTGTGAGTTTGATCAACTAGAATTGATAGAAAAGAGTTGATGGAAATATTGTCTCATTATTTATGTAGAGGAAATGTGACCTACTTTCAATACAGGAGAATCCAACAGAGTGATAATGATAATCAAAGCGAATTGTTCACAGCTCTGCTTCAGAAAAAAACAAAAGAGGCTGCATCCATCAGGCAGAATATGAGGACTCTTATATACTGGATTCAAACCCACGACATGATCAATGATATGTTATTCATCCCAGTAAGTCTTCACTCATCTTACCTGCAATAAGTATTACGTTTTTGCTGTAATAAGTTAAATACGATTATGAATCTACAGTCACATTGGCATTTCTATGAAGCCATAGGGCTAAGTAAATGCTAATTTAGCATGCTAACAAAAGTTGGCATTCAGCAGTTTAATTGTTTACTATGTTCACCATCTTAGTTTAGAGTGTTAGATAACATTTGCTAATTAACACTGAATATCCATCAGCTGGGAATGTCATCTATTTTGCAGGTATTTGGTCTTAACCAAAGCAATGTAAAAAATAAACAAATTCCCTTGTGATGGCACTAGATAAGAAGTTCAAGGGGGGCATGAATATGGGTACCAAATTTCGAAGCAATTTATCCGGTATAGCTGTTGATTTATGTATTTCAATGTTTCCTGCAAATGTCAACCTGATGTTAACGCTACAAGAAAAGTCAAGGGATCATCAAGTCATTAGAATTCACGGTCTGGAAGCAACTGATATCGGTACAAAATTGCAGGGCAGTCTCTCCAAAACATGTTTCTCCATTAAGCTGCAAGCATGCTCAGTATAGAAAATATCACATCATATTTTTTGTGTCATCCATTGGACTATTTCTAAAATGTAATAGTTCATAGAAACCAAAGAAAACATGCAATGCAGAAGGATTGTATGGCATATTTGTGTAATTGTATTGTGCAGAGAAACAATGGTACAGGGTGAAAGCAAATGTCAGCTACACACTGCAGTGCACTTGTGTTTTGGGCCACACAAGGTAACGCCAAATAATGACGTTATGGTTCAGGAAAACTGGGTCATCACTTCACCACAGTCTTCTGGTTATAGCCTCTAAGAGTATTATGCGTGTAGAAATCCCCTGCCAGACTCTTTAATATCTACAAAGACCCACATTTATGAATTTTTGAAAGAGGGAGTTGTCGAAATGTATTTATCAAATCTCACTGTTGGGTAACGATGAATTTAAAATATTTAAAC